TGTGATTTCCTTAGATCCAGCTACTCCCCCATCCTCTGAGTTCTGTTGAACCCTAAACCCTAAACCCTAAACCCTACCCTTGTTTGGATGCTTTAGATAATAACTTTTCCCCCTTGCTTCCGCCTTCCAGTGATGTGTCGACCTGATACTGCCGTCAGTTCTCTATGAGACCCTCCCCACTCTGCACCTTCTTTGATCCCGGCCCTCCTTCCCCTTTTTCCTTTTTCGATCTTCAATCAGCGGCACCTCCCGTTGGCTCGGGCGGTTCTTACTGACGAACGGAGTTTCCTTTCCACAAGCGGCCCGTGTTGGATTGTGGCGAATGGCTGAGGTGACAAGGCAGGTAGACCCTGTGGACGCGGCCTCCTGCAATCTGCGCCGGTGAAACCCCTCCGACCCCAACCCTTCAGGTCATAGTTGCCTCCTCCGTTTGTGACTGTTGCCGTACAATCCTATCCGGAATTGAGTTGTGCCAGTCCTTCCAGCTCACCCGGTCTTCCCGGATCTCGGCCACCTTAACGCTAATCAGCCAGTTCCTGCTGAATTTCGCTCTCACTTTCTTTCGCTGCTCTTCATCTTCGGGCCATTTCAGTTTGATTTTCCTCCATCTGCACAATATCTCTGCTTGGATAATMGACTTGGACTCTTTCCATACCTTGTCCCTTGGATTTGATAGTCCTTCAATTGATCTGCTGCATCTCTCCTTCCAGATCATCCATAGGGTCACCTTCCTGATGAGTTCAAACCAATTCGATTCCGCTCTGAGTCATCGTGGGGATGTTAGTGAGGAGGAGGAGTTSSATGGGTTGTTTAGGGAAAGGGGAAGAGAAGAGGGAGTCCCACAGGGRAGAGGCTCTCGCCCAGTAATCTGTCGCCTCCACACAGTGCACCAAACAGTGGACTATGTCCTCTACCGCTCCTGCCGAGCAGCCTGTACATATCTCCGAGCTATCCGGGTTAGTAGTTTTACGCCTAGTGTGCAGCCACTGGTTCACTGGTAAGGCAGCATACGCTATCAACCACTGCAGACTTCTGATCTTTTTTTTTTTTTTTTTTTTTTTTTTTTTTTTACAAAGCACGTGCCAACCCTCCTTTTCTGCTGATTAATGACATTTGGGTGGGGCTGGGTGCTTCGGTTCCGCGCGATATCTATAGAGGCTAGGTTGTCCCGGTTTCATCCCAGTTTGTGAATCTTAGATTGTCTCCTTCTAGCTTAGCCATTCTACCCCTCAAGAGCCATGTTTTGGTGAAGGTTAATCTTTTTAGCTCTCTTTTATCTGGGAGCACGGTTTTTTGTTGTTCTCTTAGGTCTCTCTGCCACCTGGCCCTTATTTCAGTTTGTATTGTGCACTTAATACCCTCCTTTATCTCCTCTAAGCTTGTAGCTTGACCTTCAAGTGTGTTTCTGCATCTTGCTTTCCAAATCTCCCACAGGGTTGCCCTCCTCCATAGCTCAGCTACTACTTCTGAGTCCTCCTCTATCGCCTCGTTCTCCCTCCTTCCCGACAGCAGGTACAGCGGGTTGGAGGGGAACTCCCCACCTGTTAAATTAGTCCACTTCCTCTTTATTTCCCCCCACGTGTCCCGCGCTTTTTGACAGGATATCAGGCAGTGTACCAGCGATTCCTCCACACCCTCACTGCACACTTTACACTGTGCGCTCAGTTGTAGAGGATCTTCTTGATTTCTCCTCTTGGCCAGCCATTGATTGACTGGAAGAGCCCAGTATATTATGAGCCATTGGAGACTTCTGATCTTCACTGGGCGTATATTCATATACTGCCCCCACGGAATTTGGTTTTCCCAGCCCGCGTTTTCATCCAAGTTCTTTTTCCACCTTTCTGAGATTACCGGTAGTGGGTCAGATGTTTTGTTGCATAGCCTGTATCCAGTTTTAACTTCGTACTCATAAAGTGGGACTAGTTTTCTGGTACTCCCTGCTTTATTGGAAACCCGCCATCCCCATTCTGCCGGGTCTACCTCTAATTCTTTTATGTCCAGATCGGGTCTAAATAGTCTTATTCTGTTTAGATCAGAAGATGTGGTTTGGTTGCCCCTCTGCCCTCTTTTAAGTGAGCATGCCCTGACTTTTCTGTAGTGGTTTAGTTGTCCCTCTGACCTAGATGTCTTTAGACTGCCTATTTTGGACCACGAGCTTTAGTTCGTGGATGCTGAATTCTGCTTTCCCTGTTTCTGCGTCTAATATTTTGATTAATCTGAAGGCTTCAGTCGGTCGCCCTTCGTCCTTCTTCGTTGCCCATTCGCCTGCCGTCCATTTGCTTTCATTCTTTAGTAGCAGCACCCATTTTAGGGGTATGCTTTCTAATAATCTTTCTAGCTGCTCCTCAATGTTGTGGACCCCTTTGAGTTTATGTCTTAGTTCTTGTGCTGTGGTCCATCTACCCTCCTCTGTGATCCACAGATGACCTATCTTCCAGATTCCTTTGCTCATCCATTTCCTCCAGTGTTTACCTTTCGTGTCCAACTTCCATTGCATACCATTCTGGTCCTTCAGTTGGGGGTTGCCGAACAGCGGTTGCCTTAGCACCTCTTCTTTTATTTCTGGGTTACGTATTTTTAGAGGGAAACATTCCCTCCAGTGCTTTATAAGCGTTGCCCAGTGTTCACTCGGAGGATCTTTGCTATCTGCAAGTCTTCTCCCTCCTTTTCTTCTAGGGTTCCAGGACGGGTTTAGTATCCAGTGGTAGCCTTCTATGGACGGGTCCACCTCGAAAGGTACTAGGTTCCGAATTTGATACAAGGCCATTTCGTGCCAAGGGAGCTCTTTGTTGAGTAGGAGTTTGATTATCCACTTGTGTTGCAGGGCCTTGAATTGGGTGGCCGGGTTGAGGAGACCTAACCCTCCTTGTAAACTTGATCTGGTTATGTATTTCCAGGCTACTTTGGTTATGTAGTGTTCCTTGTTTGTTTTACCCGTCCACAGGTATGCCCCTATCTTTCTTTTAAGCGAGGAGAAGAAACCTGCTGGCAGGTTCCACAGAGATGCTACGTACCAGCCCATCAAAAGTACTGACGTGTTAATAACTAGGACTCTTCCCATCAATGATACATTTTGCGCCTGCCACCCAGCTAACTTGTTTGTCATTTTGATGAGCATGCTTGTACCTGACTCATTGCTGGTCCCTTCTGCTGACACCTGAATCCCTAGGAAGCGCATTGGTTGCTGTGTGTCTAACCATTGTAAGCCCTGGGTGTCTTGATTTAAGAGAGGCGGTTGTGAAGATGCCAGCCACCAACTCACTGCCTTTCCCCAATTAATCTTCATTTCTGAGGCCAGTTGGAAGGCTTGCATAGCCTTTGTGAGAGCCAGGAAGGATGAGTCTGATGCTCTGATGAGCACCGTCAGATCATCCGCGAAAAGCATAACTGTTGGGATAGGTAATTGTCTGCCATCTTGCTGTACAGTTAATCTTTCTATTGACGGGTCCTTGCGTAGGAAGGCTGCTATTGCTTCCATAACAAAAAGGAAGATTGGGGCTGCTAAAGGGTCCCCTTGCCTGATTGACCTAGTCATTTTGTATTTTTCGGACAAATGACCATTCACGTGGACCATCCCCCTGGCATCCCCATACAACGCTCTTACCCACCTCCTGAAGTTGGAGCCCACTCCCATCTTCTCCATGCTTTGCTGAAGAAAGTCCCAATTCACCTGATCATAAGCCTTTTCGAAATCAAAAAATAGTATGGCCGTTTGTAGTTTTTTGTCCTTTATGATTTTTGTTGCCTCGTTTAACGTCACAACGTTATCTAGGATGTATCTCCCTGGTATGAATCCAGTTTGGTCTACGTGAAAGCATTTGTCTGTTATGTTTCTTATTCTGTTTGCTAGAGTTTTTGCCAAGATTTTGTACACTACTGGCAGTAGTGTTATGGGTCTGTAATTTCTTTTGTCTTCCCTGTCCCCCTTCTTGTATAGGAGCGTGACTATCCCTGTACTGAGTTCTTCACCTAGTGACCCTTTCTTAAACGCATCTCTGAAGAATTTTGTCACTGTTTCCCCCAGCAGGTGCCAGTTACTTTGCCAAAATTCCTTTGGAAGGCCATCTTTACCCGGGGTTTTGTTGGGTTGCATGCTCTGGAGAGCTTCAAATAGCTCTGGCTTGGTAATATCTTTTTCTAGTAGATCTATTGCCTCTTGATTGAGACTTTTGTCCAAGTATTTCAAGAATTTCTCTCTTGCTCTCCGGACCTTACCTTGTCTTCGAGGAAGGTCTTGGAGAAGTAGAGGTCCTGATAGAAATCTGACGCAACCTTCAACAACCCTGTCTGGTCCGTCTGGGTGGTTCCCCATCCGTCTTTCAATGCTAGGATTCTTCTATTCCTTTGATTTGTCTTGATCCTTTGAAAGAAAAATTTTGTTATGCTTTCGTTGCTTTCCCAGTCTTTTATTCTGGCTCTTATTGCTAGGCCTTGTCTTCTCCAGTCTGCCCACTGCTCCAATTCTGTCCTTGCCTCTTCCAGTAATTGTTCATAAAGTTCCGCCCCCGGATTGGCGATGAGGTTAAACTTGGCTATTTTGACCATAGCTTCTAGGCTTTGCTGTCTTGCTTTTCTTCTGTTAGCTTCACCCCTAGAGAACCTACTTGCCCATTGACTCATTTCCTGTACTGCTGTCGGGAAGTCTTCGGTGGATTCTCCTCTCCTTAAATTTTCCTTTATTTCTTCCCATTTGTATTTGAATTCTTGTTTGAAATTCTCTAGGTTCAAGAGAGACGTATTCAGCTTGAAAAAGCTCTTCCCTGGTGCGTTGTCTAGAGAGAAGGCCAGGTTTAATTTTATTGGGTTATGGTCGAAACCTGTGTAATGCGGTAACCTGCCTATTGTGCAATCAAGGGTGGCTCCTTCTAGTGATTCTATTATAAGGAAGAAATCTATTCTTGAAAAGGACGTTTTGCCTGCACTTGTTTTCTTGATGCAGGTGTAATCCTTTTTCCCTGGATAGCGCGTTCTGTACGGATCCTTGAGGCTCTTTTCTGTTGTTAGTTGCACTAAGGTTCCCCTGGCCGGGTCTTGTGTGTGATCTTCTGCCCATGAGATTTTATCTAGCTGGGGGTCCTGTGCCGTGTTCCAGTCCCCCACAAGGATCGTATGTTTATGAGGGGGGATTAGTCCTCCTATCTCTTCGAAGAAAGTGGTTCTCTCCCTTGTCGTGTTTGGGGCATACAAGCTTATTATTGAGATTTCTTCTCCAATGTGAGCTAGATCCACTCTGGCCCATCTTCCACCCACTTGGTCTGCTGCTGTCGCGAAAATCTTGGTTTGCTGCGATTCTACCAACCTGTTGTGGATTAGGATGAGGACTCCTGCTGAAGCTGAGTGTGTACTGCGTGCTGATACTGTTAGTGCGCAACCTTTTAATCTTCTAATTATCTCCTTGTCTATTGTCTAATTTTCGGCTGAGCTGGTGAGGTGGGTTTCCTGGAGGCAAACTATGTCTGGAGGATCGGTTCTGTTCCACCCTATTGTGTTTAGGAAACAGTGCCACTTCCCTGGGTTTGTCAGGATTGTTTTTCAATTTCCTAATCTCCGCGTTTACACAATTCTTCATTTTCTAATGAACCAGCCTAAAACTCAACCGGGTTCATTCACTCAAACATCACACCATATTCATTTACTCACACATTACACCATCAGAAACTCTCCCCACGTGTTGACAACGTCTGACACATCGTCTGTGTCAGGAATCATTATGCTGTAAATTTTTCATGTGCTCATTCACCCATTTCTTCATTTTTCAGTGAACCCAGCCTCAAACGCAACCAGGTTTGTTTACGTAAACATGAAATCATCTGAAACAAACCGTCCTTCCTGACAATCTCTGACACACCCTCATTGTCAGAAGTCATTACGATTTTCAATTTCCCAATCTCCTCGTATACATGTATCTTCATTTTCCAATGAACCCAGCCCAGAACATGATCAGGTTGACACCATCCAAAATCCACACCATGTCCTGACAATCTATGACACAAACTCGGTGTTAGAAACATGTCAATATCCAGTGAACCCAGCATAAAACTCAACATTATAGCTCTCTACGCTCACTGGCAGGTTTCTCGACCAGGCAGACTTTTCACTTGTCAACCAACCGCACAACCAAGTGTTGATCCAAGAAATCATTTCAGGTCCTTCAGGACAGATATCTACCGTTCATGTGCAGGACCGGACGTCCCAAATTGGCCTAGACATGGTGTGTAAGAGCCAGCGGCTGATAAACTTTAATAAGATAGAGAAGATAATAATAATAATAATAATAATAATAATAATAATAATAATAATAATAATAATAATAATAATAATAATAATAAAAATAAATTCATAATAATAATATGTAAATTATGTAATAATAATATGTAATAATAATAATAATAATGAAACCCTGTTGAAGAGTTAGAAGATTGAGGTTGTGAAGCCGTAAATTTGTGTAAATTTGTAAAACAATTGCCCTCGAAGCTTAGCAGGCAATTGCACAATTTGGATCTGCGAACAATTGCAACTATTGGAGGACCTGCTTGAGAGGCCTTCCTTTCCCGTAACCATTTGGTAAAGCGACAGCTACATGTCCACTTGCTCAACAACTGAGCATAGTGTATTTTCATTCTTGGGAGACAAACATGGGAGGATTCACTGGTCTGACAAATCTTCCTTTTGTGCATGCAAAATTGTCAATACCCTGCTATGTTGCAGATGTTAAATACAAGAGAGAAACTGTCAGGGGTACAGCAGACAGAAGCAGCTAATATTCGGTCAACAAGTGATAATTTCAAGGGAAAAGTGGATGCCTTCCGAAAGCTATTTCAGAAGAAAGCGCCATTTACAGTATGTGTCCATCAGTCCCTTTTGCTTTTACAGTTTTACGAACTTTTACCCTAATTTTTGTTCTTTAAATTTATACAACAAATCGAGATCTTTTATTGCCTTTTAGTCAGAAATAAAATCACCAGGCTGGTCTAACAGTATCTGCACCTAGACTATGCACATGTCCAGAGCAAGCACGTGCCCACAACCATGATAATTGGCAGCTCGGCTATGCAGATCTATAGCGTCTTGACTCCTGAGTCCTGAGGCTTTATCCAAGATCAAGGAGAGAATTTGTGAGCCCACAGAAGGAAGCGCTCCCAAGCCACTCATCACGGTTGTTGTGCAGCCTCCCTGTCTTGTGGTCCGTGTTGCAGGAGGGCGAGAAGAAATGACCTACCAGAGGTAGCTTAAACAGTGAGGCAACGTAACTGGATGGCAAATCACCTCTGAGGCCCATGGTGGCTCTGTGTCCTGAGTCTGCTGACCCACTCAATCACAGGGAGCACTGTATCTACGATCTGTGGGGCTCTGCGCAGCTCTGTATCACCTCTCTTCTCATGACACCTTTCTGCCCTTGATTAACGACGAGGTAAATCGTCTGTGAATGGTCCTGTTTGCAAAGGATCTGCAATAGGGAAACAAATTAAGTTTAATTAACCCTTGCTGTCCTAACCAAATTTCCAAAGGAATCAAGGCCCTGGCATAAAACAACTGGTTGGTAGCCAGTGTATAGTCCTGTCACAGGTGGATGAATGGAGAGGATAGGTAACTGGGGATTCTGATCCTGACAAGAACCTGACCCAAGATATGACACTGCCGATCTTGAGCAAAACCTCTAAGATTCGTCAAGTCTGATCTCTCCCAGCAAGAAATCATGCTGCAATCTAAGACACGTCGTCACAGCTGGTGAGAAATATGTAGTTGGGGTGTGGCATACTGCGCATCCACACGGGCCTGCAGGGCCCAACCAGACGGAAAATAAGGGCCCTCTGGGCCCTGTGTCGTTTCAGCCTAAAAGCCTGAAAACGAGGGCCATTTTCAGGCCCTCAGAAAGTCGACCTGCCCTGAAACTCAGGCGCCAGACCAGGGTTTAGCACAGGCCATTTTTGGGCCTGTTTCAAGACGACCTTTGTTTGAACTTCAACGCCAGGGTCTGGCACGTTTCGGCATTGGCAAGAGCAGCCTCCCGGACGGGCCAGCACTATATAGTACTGGCCCGCCCTGCAGGCTGTAGGTAGTTCATAGGGACTTCCCAGGCAGTTCACAGGCACTTCACGTGCGTTCAGGAGGCAGTCTTCAGGAGTTGGCCGCAGCACTCTGGAGGAGCGCTGCAGTAGTAGTAGCTAGCGCTAGAGTAGTCTTCAGCGCTGGGCGCTGCTAGGAGGTAGAGTAGCGTTGGGAGAGAGAGAGAAGGGCGGAGGCCAGGGAGACTTACCTGTGGTGCCATAGCTCCAGCTTCGTCTTCGATGTACCTGCAACAAGGCACCACCTTCACAGGTTAGTACCTGGTACAAGAGGGGGAGAGAGAGAGAGTTCTTCTTCTTCCTCCTCTAAGTCTGCCATCTCTCCCTCACCCTCTCGCCACCTGACTTCTCAGTATCTGCAGAGTACGAGAGAGAGAGAGAGAGAGAGAGAGAGAGAGAGAGAGAGAGAGAGAGAGAGAGAGAGAGAGAGAGAGAGAGAGAGAG